CGACCTCGAGCAGTTGTCCCTTGGGCACTGCGGTAACATTCTGGAGTCACTAAAACCGCCTTTATTCCAATTTCCTTTTCAGGTACCTCCAGAAGGACCCCTCCACGGTGTAGGCTACCAAGAAGTGATAACCGCCCTCATACTTCTAACAGCATTCAAGACAACTGTATTCATAATCAACCCCTTCAATTCTTATCATTACTCCTACATCGAATTTCAACTCTAAACTTACTCTTTTGGCTTCCTCCTCAAGTGTCACCATAGCCAACGATTCTAGTGCGCGAAACACTGTCCCAGGTCTACTGAAACCTCGCTACAAACTACACATTGGAGCCTTCAACGTACGCACCCTATGTCAAATCGGTCAGCAGGCTTCCTTGGCTAAAACCCTAGAATCTCGTACCATTTATGTATGCTGTGTATCCGAAACACGCATACAGGATCCTAGTGTGGTCATTCACTTGACCTCACCTCGCCAAAACGGAGAGCCGACGAGACACACTATCCGTGTATCTGGCGACTCCATGGCTGATTCTTGTGGACTGGTAGGTTTGGGCATAGCACTAAGCATGAGGGCGGAACAAGCACTGTTAGAGTGGATGCCCGTTAACAGTTGTCTATGTGCTGTTCGGCTAAACGACTCCGTAAGAACTCGGAAGGATATGGACACACGTCGTTGCCTTTTCGTCGTTTCTGCCTACGCTCCCATTGACTGAAGCCCGGATGAAGTAAGAGATGATTTTTACAGAAAGCTCTCTAAACTGCTTCATAAAGCTAAGCGATCAGACATAGTACTCATAGCAGGGGACCTTCATGCCAAGGTAGGTAGCTGAAACAAAACAGAAAGACATTTATTGATTGGGATCATGAACCGATTGATGTTGGACCACCATTGAAAACGTGCAAGCACTGGACGGCCGTTTCGTTCTATTGTGGGACTCCTCAGCAGTGCGCATCCACGATCCCGCTCGCGTGATTCGAATCCAAGGCCTTCAATCTTGCTCGCGAACGCTTAACCTTTTAGGTGGGTATTTTGGTATTCCGGCACAGCGAAGAGATAATGATGATCGTCTGCTGCAACTGCGCTCAGACAATCGTTTATTTTTAGCAAACACTAATTTTAGGCATAAGGAGAGACATTGTCTAATATGGCGACCCCGTACACCAAACCAACGATAGACTCAAATAGACCATATTGCCATCAGTCATCGCTGGAGATGGTCGATAGAAGATTGTCGCTCATTCTGGTGTACCTGCTTGGACTCCGACCATGCTCTAATACGGGTACGCATCTGCTTGCGACTCACTGGACGCAAAAAAGCCACAATAAAAAGACCCACTAGAACTGAATTGAGTAGCGAGAAAACTAAAAGTAGGTTCCAGGAACAACTGAGGTCACACATAAGTAGTTCTGAAAACGAGGCTGATCCAGATGTTGCTTGGAAAGATATTAGTGATTTAAACCAAAGGGATACAAAGGTCTATTGCACTGATAGATTCTCGCAAACTCATCCCATCAGGTTCTGAACACGATGTAATGCGTAAGCAAATCAGATCTAGATTAAGCAAATATCTAAGAAACGGCCGTGAGCAGTGGTGGGCAACGAAAGCAAAACAGATGGAAAAGGCGGCGGCTGTAGGTAACACCAGACAGCTCTACAGACTAATAAAAAAAACTAAAATTAATAAGTCAAGTGTAAGTCAGACTATTTCGGAAAAAGACGACACCCTCATCTGCTCTCAGTCCAGACGCTTAGGAGGATGGGCAGGACTTTTCAGAAAACAGTTCGGCTGGCCTTCAGCTACTCTACAACTACCCTCAATTCCCAGACAGTGTGAATGAGACATTGAAGTAGGTCCCCCAACTCTAGCAGAAGTTCAAATGGCTATAGTGAATCTGAAACGATGAAGGGCAGCTGGTCCAGATGGATTGGCTCCAGAGGTCTTTAAGGATGGTGGTCCAATTTTAGCGATTAGGTTGACTAATATTTTAACTAAAATCTGGGAGTCGGGCGTAATCCCATCTGATTGGTCACAATACCTTATCGTCCCAATATATAAGAGAGGGTAAAATCATCCTGTGACAACCATAGAGGGATTGGTTTAACTAATATAGTATCTAAAATACTAGCCTCGATAATTATCAGACGCCTAACTAAGACTCGTGAACTGCAAACACGAGAAAATCAAGCTGGCTTCAGACCTGGTCGTGGCTGCATCGACCACATATTCGCCATTCGTCAGGTTCTAGAACATAGGCATACTTATCGGCGTCCGACAATGGTGGTCTTTCTTGACTTGAAAGCAGCATTTGACTCCGTAGACCGCGAGACTCTGTGGCAGTGTCTGTCATTGAAAGGCGTACTTCAGAAGTACATAAACCTTGTGAAGGCTCTTTATCCGAACACTACCAGTCGAGTCAGAGCTTATGGCGGACTGTTATCTGCTTTTGTAACCTCAAGCGGTGTCCGTCAAGACTGTCCGCTTTCTCCATTTTTGTTTAACTTCATCATGGACCTATTGATGGAAATAACATTCTCGTCTACTGAATTCTCGGGTATTGATCTCCTTCCAGGAGGTCCACTTATCGACTTAGAATACGCAGATGATATAGTCCTGTTTGGTGAAGACGCTGATAAAATGCAGAGTATTTTGGTAGCACTAAGCAACAATGCCAGAATGCTTGGGATGCGCTTCTCTCCTTCTAAATGCAAGTTGTTGCTTCAGGACTGGTCTGCGTTAACACCTGAACTAAGGATAGGGAGTGAAGTAGTCGAACGCGTTGACAACTTCACTTATCTTGGGAGTCTGATCAGCCCTAATGGGTTGGTATCTGACGAAATCTCAGCACGGATTCGAAAAGCTCGCTTGGCTTTTGCCAACTTACGTCACCTATGGCGAAGGCGAGATATCCGTCTATCAATTAAAAGAAGAGTATACTGCGCGGCAATCCGTTCTGTTTTAATTTACGGCAACGAAACATGACCATTAAGAGTAGAAGACACTCGTAAGCTACTAGCATTTGACCACAGATGCCTTAGAAATATTGTTGGGATCACCAGGTAAGTAATAGTGAGGTTAGACGCAGGGTATTAGGGAATGATGGTAAATCAGTTGATCAGGTTGTGAATCTTCATCGACTGAGATGGTTGGGCCACGTGTTACGTATGCCTGAACACCGATTACCACGACGTGCAATGCTGACCGGTGTTGGAGGATGGTTGGAAGAAAGTTAGGGGCGGCCAAACCGAAATGTGGCATCAGTGCTTGAAGTCACTAACTTCTAGTCTTAGCCATGTTGGTAGATGCAGACTACTTGGTCGGGGTCCACGTGACCATCGTAACCAATGGTTGGAGACTCTTGGTGAGACGGCTCAGAATCGATCACAGTGGCGTCGGTCTGTACACTCTCTGTCTTCCCTTAAACTAAGAGATTAAAATCGCTTCATATCTTTCTTTCTACGAACTAATTCTTTGTTCCTGTACTATATCCTTATTGCAATCTTTCTTTTATATATTACCACCTCTGAATTAACTACTTTTATGAATCCGGTGTCCATCTTGTGTTAATGAGGTGTGGCAACTTGGACCGATGCATATATTTGCCTGGTCTAACGTTGTTGCTGACTGACTGACTGACTATTTCACTTGTGTTTTGTGGGACAGATTTGTCCAGTCTATTCCTTTTCTGTGAACTGATTTTGAACAGTCATTACGTCGTGAAATTTTTGAATAATTCTCAAATAGTTTGCTAACTGTACATCCAAGGACCTTTCTTTCGTAACATAAGTCCTCTTCTCTCTTAGCACTATTTCCATCCCAACTACTGTTAACTAACTTAGTATGCAAGCTCTTTCCAGTTTTGATATTGGCCATAACTTCTCAGATATATAGTTTATGAATAACACATGATCTTCCTGATAAACTTGGAGAACAGCAGCCACATATTTATAAGAAACAGAAAGGAAATAGATTTCGATTAGCCTTCAACACTATCTTATTTTCTCATTATTCAAAATATTGCATGTTTGCTATGTAGGGAAGAGTTTCGTAATCCTAAATATGTGAATACCATGACCATAATAACCTGGTTCGCACTCATTATTGATCGTTTATTAGTTTGAGTTCAAAGTTATTTTCAAAATTATCCTAAATAGCTGTTAATTACAAAGTTCTCCATAGTGAATAATATCCCTTCTTAATTCTCAGCAAATCTACAATGTATGTGTTTTTTTTAAAACCAATCTTTAAAGCTTTCACTTACATAATGAATTCATATTTCTCATTACAAATGGGTAGTTTGATATTGACACTTATTATCATTCTAAACAATACATTATTACAGTGAACTTCATTGAGAAATCAATCAGACGCTCTAAACCCCGGAATAATACCCACCAACAGAATTATTATTTTGTTAAATAGGAATATGGCACAGCAACTTCATCAGCTTGGATGAAGAATATGCTCTGAATAATACCATCACTTTTAACGATAAGCATATCTTGGAACCTCGAATGATGTACATTTTATGATGCAATTTTATTTATGAAGCTGCGAAATTTCTCGGCTGAAAATGTTGAGGTAACCTATGAACGTATCAGTCAGTCGTACACAGTGTAGAACCTTCCATATATGTGCATCGGTTTAAGTTATCACTCTACATCAGGACAACGAAATACCAAAATTGTATAAGTACCAACGATAACAATCACAATGATACACATAAAACTTACGAGTAAATCACATATTTTGTACGCCATTTTATAAAATGAGTAAGTCATTTAAAATTAATTTTTAAAATTTGTATTTATTTGTGTTTTCAGTGTGCTAAGATAAATTTATCAGTATGGTGTATGTAGAACGAATCTATAAATAAATGTACTCTGTACAACAGTGATCTGGATAAATTTAAATGATAAAAATGGTTTAATCATTGTTAGTAGTAATACTATATATGAAAAAGTAATTTTGTACATGTTAAAGAATACTAAATTATATTAGGCCTTGTGGATTCCTTGCAAGCAAGAAACATTTTCTTTTCGTCCTGTGTCTAGTAAGTAATCGATTGAAAATTTATCCAAATTAGGGTTGTTTGGAACTTTTGTCACTGATCTAAAATCAACTTTATTTGTGGTACTATGCGATTCGATTGTATTATTTGTTTTCTGATACTGATTTATAGTCACTTGGGAAATGGACGGAAAATGGAGAAAATTTAAAAACGATTCATTCTCTTGTAATTGATGAAAATATTGATTGTTATTATTATTATTATTATTATTATTATTACTATTATTATTGTTATGCTGGTGGAACAAAGATAAGGAGTTTAAAATTGTATCCTTAAAGTTTTCCAAGTCACCTTCATTTAAATTAGAAAGTAAGAAATTTGGTGGTGGAATCATTGAATAACTGGTCAGTGGACAAATAGGGGGGTTACAGACAGATGATGTTGTAGAGTAAGAAATTATAAGCTTTAAATCATTTTCTTTTTCCATAGAGGTTGTTGTTAGTGTTATCAATTCATTTTGAGATAGGGATTTTGGCCCTGCTGTATAATAAAAACTATTTTTATCTCCACTTTTTATCTCGTTAGACACTGGATCAAACTGATGACAGTTATAATGATCGTGTTCTGGTTGATGTTGTTGGCGATGATAATATTGACGTTGATGGTTTTGTTGATCGAATCTTCTAGAATCTACTCTTGTCAGTGAGCGTTTATAACGTTTACGACGTCTTAAGAAACTGCCATTATCAAACATATCTTCAGATTGTGGATCCAATGTCCAATAATTCCCTTTACCAGGATTACCAGGCTCGCGTGACACTTTGATAAAACAGTCATTTAAAGATAAATTATGTCTAATTGAATTCTGCCACGCTGGAAATCGTTCACGGTAATAAGGAAAGTTGGACATGATAAAATCACATATACCAGATAATGTTAGTCTTCGTTTCGGTGAGTGTAATATTGCCATAGTAATCAGCGCAATATAAGAGTATGGAGGTTTAACTGTTGCAGATTTATTTACCGATGACGGGGAATTCAAATGATTTATCGGATTTTCCGTCATAGAGAATAACTTCTCACCTAATTCCGGTTCAGCTAATTCCCTATCCAAATCATCATCATCGTGATCGTTTAAAAAGTCGATATTGGTTTCTTCATTTAAGTTCTGTAAACATTCTGGATAAATGTTTGGGCTAAGTGATTTATCAACGTCATTCTGTTCATTTTTTGTATTCAAATGTGAAGTATCTCTGTCTGTCACTGATTTTTTTTTCATACTGCTTATGAGTAAATTATATTGATGACAAGTAGAATAATCCGACTTTTGTGATCGATATGTACCGGAAGTTGTAAATGGTGAGTTCATTGAAGCTGAAAGGTCAAGTAAAGCACCTTGATGCACTAACATTTGGTTATTTATAACATTTTGATTAATTCTGTTGTGTACTGAAGTTGAAGTAAATAATTCACGGTTATTATTGTCGTAATTATCACAGTCAGTATTTGATGTATTTTGATCTAATTCATGCAAGTGTTCATAATTCTGTGAAAGAAATATATCCGTATCTGTTACACTGCTCATATTGATCATAGTGGTGACAATGTCAAGTTTATTTCAGAAAGGATATTATTAACTGTGATTTTGTACACAATGGGAGTGTGAAAAGGTAAAATATTATTAATAAATACTTCGGTTAGTCGTATGTATAATGCAGTTTTATTATTAGTGTTTTTTTGTGAAGTATAATAATGTGTTGTTGTGTTGACGCTGCACGGATACAGCAAGACACTCGCCCAAAGAAAATCTACAGGTTACAGAATATTACATTGACTACATATCCACTCTGTAGCAAAACTAATCAGGGAAAACAAGGATATCTATTTACATAGATGTTAACATTGGAACATTCATATTTTTTCTTAAACCCCTCCCTCATTATATTTTCTTATTATGTGTCTAAAGTCTAGTTAATGTGATGGAAAATACGGAAGTTTTTTGTATGCTAACCTCTCTTCCCCCTTTTATAAATTAGCCAACCACGGATTAGAATATGTACTGAAAGCGTTTTTAGTGTTTTGTCATTCTAAGGAAGAGAAGAAAAATAACAATATGGACACACATGCAAAAACAATTTGTTAATTTTATGCCAGACATAGCGATTAGATGGAGTATGAATAAACCAATCGAATTAAAGTTTTGATAAGCTGGTCACAAGCTGATCGATTCATCAGTTATTTTAACTGATAAATTTCACACGATAGGATGTTACACATAATTTAAAGTGTGCTAATTATTTTCATTGGAGTATGGAACTTAAAGAAGATGCGTATTTTCAAATCCTCCAGGAATTGATCTGTGGGATTTCATATTTTGTGATACTCATTCCAGAAAAAAATTATGTAGAATGCCCTTATTTTCTTATTTTCATTTAACTTGAAATTATTTACTACATAACACTGACATAGTAACTAAACTTTAGGATATATATAATCAAATATCAGCATCATCATCTCGTTTTTAGTAAATGTCATGATTACAACCTGATGTAAATAATAAATTAAAAGGCTTTAGCTCTTTGTCACCTACTAGTATCAATTTGTCAAAATTGTTCACCTACATAAAATCTATTAATTAAAATTAAAGAGTAGATTGTTTACAATTAAAAAGCCATATATTTTAAAGGCTCTAAACTTTATTCTAAATTGCTGTCAATAGGAAGATAGTGTAAATATTGAACATATTTGATCTAATCTAGTGACAGGTTTATCCCATATTTTTGTGTTGATGTAAATATATATAACTTGGCTTTTATATTCGCTATATACAAATGATTAGACTTGTAAACTTTAAAAAAATCACGAAGACCAAGTACTCGTAGATAATGTTACTGAAAAATATCTCTCACTCATCTACTAAATATGGTGTCTCCCCTCAGAGAAAATAATTTAAAAGTTACTGATAAGTGAATGGATGATTGATTTTCAAGTGCATTTGTATTAGTGTTTTACACAAACGTTTCAGGTTAAAAAATTACTTTAGTGACAGTGATATGCTTTTCAGTTAGGGTGAAAGTGATGTTTCTCATAGACTTACACTAAACAGATTCCTGCGCTCTAGCACTAGAGATCTTCTTCATCTTTGTTTGAAATTATTCATCAACGAACACCCACAATCCTATTGACTTTGAGCCCAAGAAGATTAGTAATCACTCTGACAACTAAGTTGGAATTCAGTGATCAATATTTACAGTCCAGGTTAGATCTGGATACAGTGCGCAGACACACAATTCTGTCTTTGGGAATCTATCATACTTCAAGCCTTGCTAACCTTAAAAGTTCAAGCTTACTTCCAAAACTCTTGAGAATCCATGGACAAAATGGAAGCGCAATAAACAATTAGAGCTTTGCAATATTCCTTAGGTAAGATCTACTGTAATCCAGTCATGTAGTATTAACTTTGTATATTCTTCTGCAAACACAATAAGAAATCACAAAAATACTGACGTTGATTAAAGGTGATGAAACTAATATTTTCAAGTAGAACGACCTCATTAGTTCTTAACTTCACCCGGGCCCCTTTGCAGATACTATCACTCTCAAGTTCAGAAAAAGTAAAGCGGCTAGTCGTAGAATTAAAAACCCCACTCCATGAAAATAAATATCGCTAAATAAACGGTGGCGAGAAATGACTATTTGAACTATTATAACTGTAGGTATCATTACCAAGGTTTGACTTGAGAATTTCGAATAAATTGAGCATTGGGTAGATGGTTATAAATAAATAATGTACTTGTAATATCCTAGTGAGCAGAATATTTATTTATTTATATTATAACTGTGTTTAAGAAGAGAAATTGATTCTATAACTAACCGAGTCGCAGAATTGTGCATGGAGGGCAACTCACAGATCTGTTCCAAGGGACGACTGGTGTTAGAAAAGACTCCCTACACTCACCTTTCCTCTTTCTTCCGGTTATTGACTAGATTATGAAGACCACATCTCAGGCGAAGCATAGAGTACAGTGAACACTTTGAATGCAGCTGGATGATTTGTGCTGTGTGCATGACAGCTCTGATGTCGCATACGCAGCAATAAATGAAGACAACAACAGCCTGTTCGTCGGTGGGCTCTACAGCAATTGCCCTCATCGTTCAAATGGAACGAAGCAAAACCCTGGATTACAACACAGTGAGCACCAACACAAACACACTTGATGGTCATGCTCTGAGACAGGTGGAAGCCTTTACACGTTCGTGCAGCATCAGTTATAAACAGGGTGTAACCGATGCTGATGTAGAAGTACAAGTTGGAAAGGCAGGCGCAACAACACTACAAGCGAAGAACATCTGGAACTCAAAACAACTGTCAGCCAACACTAAAGTCAGGACTTTAAACGCTAACGTTGAGGTAATTCTATCGTGTGGAGCTGAAATTCGGAGAACTGCCACAACCATTACCAAAAATGTATAGATATTTATGAACAACTGTCCACGCAAGATACTTCAGATCCATTGACCGGAGATCATCAACAATAATCTACCGGTTGAGGGAGGAATTGGCGAAAGACGTCAGAGGTGAATAGGACATACTTTACGGAAACTACTAAACTGAATCACAAGATAAGCTCTAACTTGGAATTCCGAGTGTGAAATCGGAACTGGTGTATCAAAGAGTATATGGCTCGAATAATCGGTGACAGGCATCAAGTTTTCGAATAAAACTTAGAAACAACTAGAATGTTTTTAGAGATCTTCAATAGAGAGACTTTTTATCATGAATAGCATCATGCTTGCGAAATTAAACTACTGTTTTTTTCTTTTTCATTCTTTTAGAATAAACGGGTAGTTTTACAGCATAAGAGATTACTAATTACATTATTTTGTCTAACTGTTCTATCTGGTCACTATTTTCAAATTAAATCATATACTCTACGATGCGTTATCAAAAGGTTATTGGATTTCTGAGAAATGACTGAAATATGACGGTAATAAATTTCCATTCTTAAGTCTTTTGCAATCAGTTTTTAATGACCCATTGTTTTGTGGTCAAGCGAAAAATCCCGACACTGAGATATTTCATCTGATTGTTCTCATTAGTCATAGATTAAATTTCAAATATTTTTAGAATTTCTATTGTTTATTATTATTATCACTACTGCTTTCATTACAGAGAACTATCAAAGCCGATGATATCAGAGAATTTATCGCAAATAAATGAGACATAATTAAGATGTTCTTTTGTAATAAAGTGTCTTAATTTGAACCCTTTCAATAGAATCAAGTTGTCATTTTTAGTCCTTCAAATTTTACTGATAACATTATTAGAATGTAATCTTAACTTAGGGGAATATTATTGTGAATGCAGTTCAAATTTTAGATATTAAGAAACTTATAATCCTAAAGCTATATGATCACAGTGAAAGTAAGAGATTTTTGTCAACTGACTGATTTAAATAAGAATATAGAAAATCCTGAGTGGATGACATATAAATTTGCGGTTTAAATATCTTTTGTGGAATAGAAGACTCCAACATTTTTCTGTCATTTCTCTTGTTTTTATCTTAAAGAAAGCAAAAACGATGTTTGGCGCAGAACAACATGAATTCATTTTAGTCCGTTAGGTTTTCATCAGCTGTTTACACCCTATGATATTTTAAAATAAAAGTTATTTCAGATATTGACATACGTATAAATGCAAAGATGACTAGAGATGAATATGTGTATCATGATGTAGCGGAGATTCCTATAGAGTTAATAATATCATTAAAAAATTTGTTTCGGATAAATAAAGTTTGGGAGGGAAAGTCCCAGAACATTGAACTAGTGATTAGAACTCATGGAGTTAACAAAAATTAAATGATTATGTAACTGAAAACAGATTAATGGTAATAAAGAAAGATATAAATTGAAATCAGTCAGCTATGAATTAAAGAAAAATGACATTGATGTAATTAAACTTCAGAAAGAGTTAAAGTAATGAACGATACAAGAAAAAGGATGTAGTGTTACTAGGATAAATAAAGATTTATTACTGCTTCTTTCTGGACACGGATCTGGTATTAGGCGTTTAATCGCTATAGCTTCGGCAAATTTCAGAAGGTTGGAGTTCGACACTTGATCAATCACCTTGAACAACTTCATTGTATTCACTTGATGTCCTGTATCAAGGAGGTGCATCAAGATGACACTACGGAATGCTTTAAGTCCACTCGACCTTAGACTTTTGGGAATATGTCCTTAGAAACGGACGTATTCTCTCCTTTCTGTACAGTTGGTGGTAACATGATTGACTGTGTTAAATAACATGTTGTTATGGACAAGACAATCAGTTTAGCTGATGGATAAGTTCTTTTCAATGAAGTTTTGAATCCCATGTTGATTGATCCTGTCACATCATCGTTTGTGAATTCACTTACTTACTTTCGCCTGTTACTCCCAATGGAGCCTAGGACGCCGATCAGCATTCTCCAACCCATTCTGTCTTGGACCTTCCTTTTTAGTCCTATCAAACACTTGTTCATTCTCATGTCTGTCTCCATTCCTCGGCGTAATATGTTCTTCGATCTTCCTCTTCTCATTTGG